GGTGGTGGTAAACACTGGGGTGGTGGTAAACACTGGGGTGGAGGTAAACACTGGTGTGGAGGTGAACACTGGGGTGGAGGTAAACACTGGGGTGGAGGTAAACACTGGGGTGGAGGTGAACACTGGGGTGGAGGTAAACACTGGGGTGGAGGTAAACACTGGGGTGGAGGTGAACACTGGGGTGGAGGTAAACACTGGGGTGGTGGTAAACACTGGGGGTGGGGTAAAACACTGGTGTGGAGGTAAACACTGGGGTGGAGGTAAACACTGGTGTGGAGGTGAACACTGGGGTGGAGGTAAACACTGGGGTGGAGGTAAACACTGGTGTGGAGGTGAACATTATGGTTCAAGTCAGGTGAACAAGCCTCGCGCGATATTAATAAAGTTTTCCATCTTTCTTTCAGGAATTTAATCTAGTGTTCACGACCCTCAGCATCGCTGCAAATTTTCACGTCAGGAAGTTAGTTCAGAGTTTGTAATTCATTACTGTAACCTTTTTTAGGGGGCCTTTTGGGGAGGGGGGATCTAAGTGCATTATTACCTATAAGGGAGTTAGAGAGTGTGCAAATCTCTCTCTCTCTCTCTCTCTCTCTCCTCTCTCTCTCTCTTCTCTCTCTCTCTCTCTTTCTGTCTCACTGATGAGCGGTACGGTAGAGATTTCAGAGATGTGATCAACTTCGTTTACACCTCACTCAGCGCCTCTTGTTACACCCTCTTCACCTCTGCCTTTTCACTCTGGTATCCTGAGCTTGGTTCTCCCTCTCACAGCTCGAGACAGAGTTCTGACATATATCAAAGCTCATCGCTACTGCTAAACTCCAAGCTCTGTCACATTAAGGAGTGATTTCAATTAGCACTCAGATATCACACCACTGACTGGTTACAGACTTTGTCAAAAACAATGGCTGACTGAGAGATTGCCGGAAATATCAAAACAATACTTGACTGAGAGACTTCCAGAGATATCAAAACAATACTTGACAGAGAGAGACTTCCAGAGATATCAAAACAATACTTGACAGAGAGAGACTTCCAGAGATATCAAAACAATACTTGACTGAGAGACTTCCAGAGATATCAAAACAATACTTGACAGAGAGAGACTTCCAGAGATATCAAAACAATACTTGACCGAGAGACTTCCAGAGATATCAAAACAATACTTGACCGAGAGACTTCCAGAGATATCAAAACAATACTTGACTGAGAGACTTCCAGAGATATCACAACAATACTTGACTGAGAGACTTCCAGAGATATCAAAACAATACTTGACTGAGAGACTTCCAGAGATATCACAACAATACTTGACTGAGAGACTTCCAGAGATATCACAACAATACTTGACTGAGAGACTTCCAGAGATATCAAAACAATACTTGCTGAGAGACTTCCAGAGATATCACAACAATACTTGACTGAGAGACTTCCAGAGATATCAAAACAATACTTGACTGAGAGACTTCCAGAGATATCACAACAATACTTGACTGAGAGACTTCCAGAGATATCAAAACAATACTTGACCGAGAGACTTCCAGAGATATCACAACAATACTTGACTGAGAGACTTCCAGAGATATCAAAACAATACTTGACCGAGAGACTTCCAGAGATATCAAAACAATACTTGACTGAGAGACTTCCAGAGATATCACAACAATACTTGACTGAGAGACTTCCAGAGATATCACAACGATTGCAGTATCAAAATCTTGATATATTACAAAACTGAAAGTGGTATTCCTTTCACTCCCCAGAGCTGTCAGCCTCGTCTAACAGTGCGGCCGGAAATCCGTTGTGTATCAGGCGATTAAACATTCCGTCAACATCGTCTGTTCACCCAGACGCAAGTTCCGTGTGGATAGCGTTCCTGCCGCAGCTGTCAGCCATCAGCGGGTAATACACATATTAGATGAATCTTCCTTTAAGACAACGTTTCGCCCACAGAAAGGTCTCATTGAGCGAGTCAGAATCGCATCGTTTTACGAGCACCTTTAACACCAATTCCAACCCAGTTTGTCGAATTGAAAGCTACTCAGGAGGACTTTATTCAGGAAATAAAAATCTTAAAGCCACACACACACACACACACACACATATATATATATAAAACGTATATATATATATATATATATATATATTTTATATATATATATATATATATATATATATATATACCTTTGCCATCTTCAGAGGTAAATTTTGAGTCTCTACCTGCACGTCTACCCGTCCCGTACATCTATCCGCACATCTACCTGCACATCTACCCGCACATCTACCTGTACATCTACCTGTACATCTACCCGCATATTTACCCACACATCTACCCACACATCTACCCACACATCTACCCACACATCTACCCACACATCTACCCACACATCTACCCACACATCTTAGCGCACATCTACCCGCACATCTACCTACGACGTTGATAGACCGATCAATAATAACTCACAGCGACGTGACTTATCGCATATGACGGAGCCTACTCCAGGTGGAGGGTTCGGGGTAAGTCTACTCCAGGCGTGGAACCTGTGAAGGGTGAGCCTATGTCGGGTGATGAAGTAGAGAGAGGGAGAGAGAGAGAGCAGGTGAGGGGAAAGGAAGGGAGGAAGGAAGGGAGAAAGGAAGGGAGGAAGGAAGGGAGGAAGGAAGGGAGGAAGGAAGGGAGAAAGGAAGGGAGGAAGGAAGGGAGGAAGGAAGGGAGGAAGGAAGGGAGGAAGGAAGGGAGGGAGTATAAATGTAATATGTCTCAATTTTCTGGTCAAACAAGGCCAGTATTGTGTTGTGGTTTTAATGCCTTTTTCAGTTTGTTTTTGCTGCTGGAGGTGATTGTTGCGTTGTTTGCAAGGTGAAGGTTGTTTGTGCCAGTGTTTGCAAGACGTGCCACCCTGTGTATGACCCTGTGTACGACCCTGTGTACGACCCTGTGTATGACCCTGTGTACGACCCTGTGTATGTGTGTGTATATACAACACCAGCCGTCACCTGGGCGGGGCTATCCTGGCCTGGTCATATTTTTCAACTCGACGTAGATAACGAGTGCATAATATATTGATAACAAATGGATAACATAGAAAACAAAATGTATATCACATACATAGATGTTATTTAGATAGCAAGTATATAACACAAATATATAACACATACAAAACACATAGTGTAGTCACGTAACACAGGTGTATATGGAGTCTCGTTACTTAACACAGGTACACAGGTGTAAGTCACTGGAGTGTCGTCACTTAACACAGGTGTAAGTCACTGGAGTGTCGCCACTTAACAAAGGTGCAAGTCACTGGAGTCTCGTTACTTAACACAGGTGTAAGTCACTGGAGTGTCGCCACTTAACAAAGGTGTAAGTCATTGGAGTGTCGTCACTTAACACAGGTGTAAGTCACTGGAGTATCGTCACTTAACACAGGTGTAAGTCACTGGAGTGTCGTCACTTAACAAAGGTGTAAGTCACTGGAGTCTCGTTACTTAACAAAGGTGTAAGTCACTGGAGTGTCGTCACTTAACAAAGGTGTAAGTCACTGGAGTATCGTTACTTAACAAAGGTGTAAGTCACTGGAGTGTCGTCACTTAACACAGGTGTAAGTCACTGAAGTGTCGTCACTTAACACAGGTGTAAGTCACTGGAGTGTCGTCACTTAACACAGGTGTAAGTCACTGGAGTGTCGTCACTTAACACAGGTGTAAGTAACTGGAGTGTCGTCACTTAACAAAGGTGTAAGTCACTGGAGTGTCGTCACTTAACACAGGTGTAAGTCACTGGAGTGTCGTCACTTAACACAGGTGTAAGTCACTGGAGTATCGTCACTTAACAAAGGTATAAGTCACTGGAGTGTCGTCACTTAACAAAGGTTTAAGTCACTGGAGTGTCGTCACTTAACACAGGTGTAAGTCACTGGAGTATCGTCACTTAACAAAGGTATAAGTCACTGGAGTATCGTCACTTAACAAAGGTATACGTCACTGGAGTGTCGTCACTTAACATAGTTGTAAGTCACTGGAGTATCGTCACTTAACAAAGGTGTAAATCACTGGAGTGTCGTCACTTAACACAGGTGTAAGTCACTGGAGTGTCGTTACTTAACACAGGTGTAAGTCACTGGAGTGTCGTCACTTAACACACTTGTAAGTCACTGGAGTGTCGTCACTTAACACAGGTGTAAGTCACTGGAGTGTCGTTACTTAACACAGGTATAAGTCACTGGAGTGTCGTCACTTAACACAGGTGTAAGTCACTGGAGTATCGTCACTTAACACAGGTGTAAGTCACTGGAGTGTCGTCACTTAACAAAGGTGTAAGTCACTGGAGTCTCGTTACTTAACACAGGTGTAAGTCACTGGAGTGTCGTCACTTAACACAGGTGTAAGTCACTGGAGTGTCGTTACTTAACACAGGTGTAAGTCACTGGAGTGTCGTCACTTAACACAGGTGTAAGTCACTGGAGTGTCGTCACTTAACACAGGTGTAAGTCACTGGAGTGTCGTTACTTAACACAGGTGTAAGTCACTGGAGTGTCGTTACTTAACACAGGTGTAAGTCACTGGAGTGTCGTCACTTAACACAGGTGTAAGTCACTGGAGTGTCGTTACTTAACACAGGTGTAAGTCACTGGAGTGTCGTTACTTAACACAGGTGTAAGTCACTGGAGTGTCGTCACTTAACACAGGTGTAAGTCACTGGAGTGTCGTTACTTAACACAGGTGTAAGTCACTGGAGTGTCGTTACTTAACACAGGTGTAAGTCACTGGAGTGTCGTTACTTAACACAGGTGTAAGTCACTGGAGTGTCGTCACTTAACACAGGTGTAAGTCACTGGAGTGTCGTCACTTAACACAGGTGTAAGTCACTGGAGTGTCGTTACTTAACACAGGTGTAAGTCACTGGAGTGTCGTCACTTCACGTGTGATGTCATTCTAAGTATTATTTACTTCAGGTGTTTATAATACACAAGAAGTAGCACATTACCTTTTTCTCTCAACAGACGGTAGGCTGAGGCACCTTCTTCGTCGTCACCACCTCCTCCCTCTTCTTCTCCCTCTTTTTCTCTCTCTTCTTCTCCCTCTTCTTTTTCTTCCTTCATTTCTCGCCCCTGGCTGTGGTCGTGCCCGTGGAGGCGGAGGGGTCGTTATGACGGGTGGTGGTGCTGGTGGTGTGTGGTCGTCTGTGTTCCGTGTTCAGCTGCAGGAGACACACACCTTGGACCTCTACTACCAGGAGAACACCTCAGTGCACGAGAGCCACCACCTGGCACCCATACTCATCAGTCAGTGGCACCACTACCACCAGGTGAGTGGCACTACTACCACCATGTGAGTGGCACTACTGCCACCTGGTGAGTGGCACTACTACCACCAGGTGAGTGGCACTATTACCACCAGGTGAGTGGCACTACTACTACCACCAGGTGAGTGGCACTACTACTACCACCAGGTGAGTGGCACTACTACCACCAGGTGAGTGGCACTACTGCTGTCAGGTAGCACTGCTTGCGCGCCCTTCTTATGTCATCAGTTTTTGAGAGAGAGAGAGAGAGCGAGAGCGAGAGACATTTGCTTACTCACATTATATATCATTACATTAGATCTATGTAGAAATACTAACACAGATCGCCCGGGATCCCTTAATTATTCATCCTTAAAAAATCCCTTTGAATCCCTGTTTATATTTTCAGCAGCTGTTGTGCACCACGAGACAGGTGAACCATCAGACACAATACTAGAACCTCGTAATTAATGTTGTATTAACTTAACTAACCGGCTTACTAACACCTTCAAACATAAACCAATGAGATCATTTTTGAGTGAAAACAGTGTGTGTATATGATGCAGGTGTTGAGGTGAGGCATCATTGTCAACATGTGAGGTGATGCAGGTGTTGAGGTCTAGTAGTGATAATGTGGTTAGTAACCCTCGGTAGAGGGTCCTTGTTGACGGTGAGGGGCTCTTGATTTAAGGAACTAGATCCAACATTTACCTTCTTGATTCAGACGGGTTTTCCTTTCATTCCCTCTCAGATGATAGGTGACTCCTACGGGTTTAGCGGTCCCCTCGCCATGAGTGTATTAAGAGTGGTCAACAGTTATTTAACAGTGAGTCACAGTTAGGTTATGGACTCAGGTGCAGTCTAGGTGACGTTCCTTCATAAACTAGGTGACGTGTCCTCAGACAGGTGACTGAGAATAACAAGGGAGGTGGTTAGGAATGATGCTGGTGGTGATGGTAGTTGTAGTAGTAATAGTAGTAGTAGTAGTAGTAGTAGTAGTAGTTGTTGTAGTAGTAGTAGTAGTAGCAGCAGCAGCAGTAGTACATATTATGTAATAAATTATACCTATTGGTAAAAAGAATGAAAAGATGGGGTGGTAGGGGAAGTGGAATATTCAAATGGCTTCAGGAAGAGATCCAAATATTCTTCCTTGAAGCCTTTTTATCCACTTCTCCGAGGCTATGGGTCACACACACACACACACACACACACACACAAAAGGGGGAACTACTCAGGCATGAGGAACTTCCTGCAAGACATTAAGTGGGAGAGGGAACTGACAGGAAAACCAGTACAAGAAATGATGGACTATGTGGCAACAAAATGCAAGGAGGCAGAGGAGAGGTTTGTTCCCAAGGGAAACAGAAATAATGGGAAGAACAGAACGAGTCCTTGGTTCACCCAAAGGTGTAGGGAGGCAAAAACTAGGTGTACTAGAGAATGGAAAAGGTACATAAGACAGAGAACTCAGGAAAATAAAGAGATTAGCCGAAGAGCCAGAAACGAATATGCACAGATAAGAAGGGAGGCTCAGCGACAATATGAAAATGACATAGCATCGAAAGTCAAGTCTGACCCGAAGCTGTTGTATAGCCACATCAGGAGGAAAACAACAGTCAAGGACCAGGTAATCAGACTGAGGAAGGGTGATGGGGAGTTCACAAGAAACGACCGAGAGGTATTTCAGGAGCTCAACACGAGATTTAAAGAAGTATTTACAGTGGAAACCAGTAGGACTCAAGGAAATCAGAACAGGGGGGCACACCAGCAAGTGCTGGATGAGGTACATATAACCAAGGAGGAGGTGAAGAAGCTGCTATGCGAACTTGACACCTCAAAGGCGGTGGGACCAGACATCTCTCCGTGGGTCCTTAAAGAGGGAGCAGAGATACTGTGTGTGCCATTAACAAAGATCTTCAACACATCAATTGAAACTGAGCAACCCCCTGAGGTATGGAAATGGCAAATGTAGCCCAATTTTAGAAAGGGAGACAGACATGAGGCACTAAACTACAGACCTGGATCACTAACGTGTATAGTATGCAAAGTCATGGAGGAGATCATCAGGAGGAGAGTGGTGGAGCACCTGGAAAGAAACAAGTGTATAATTGAAAACCACAGGGTTTCAGGGAGGGAAAATTCTGTGTCACAAACCTACTGGAGTTTATGAAAAGGGTACATAAGTAAACAAGAGAGAGGGGGGGTAGATCGACTGCATTTTTTTGGACTGCAAGAAGGCCTTCGACACAGTCCTCACAAGAGGTTACTGCAAAAGCTTGAGGATCAGGCACACATAACAGGAAAGGCACTGCAATGGGTCAGAGAATATCTGACAGGGAGGCAACAACGAGTCATGTACGTGACGAGGTGTCAGAGTGGGCGCCTGTGACAAGTGGGGTTCCACAGAGGTCATCTTAGGACCTGTGCTGTTCTTGGTATATGTGAATGACATAACGGAAGGGATAGACTCAGAAGTGCCCCTTGTTTGCAGATGATGTAAGTTAATGAGGAGAATCAATTCGGATGAGTTTGGCAGGACTACAAAGAGACCTGGACAGGCTACAACCCTGGTCCAGCAACTGGCTCCTTGATTTTAAAACCCTCCCAAAATGCAAAGTCATGAAGATTGGGGAAGGCAAAGAAAAACGTCAGACACAATATAGTTTAGAGGGCCAAAGACTGAAAACCTCACTCAAGGAAAAAGATCTGGGAGTGAGTATAACACCGAGCATATCTCCTGAGGAGCACATCAATCAGATAACTACTGCAGCAAACGGGCGCCGGGAAAACCCTACGGATAGCGTTCCGATCCCTCAGTAAGGATTCGTTCAAGACTCTGTACACCATTTACGTCAAGGCCCATTACGGGAGTATGCAGCACCAGTTTGGAACCCACACCTGGTCAAGCACGTAAAGAAGTTAGAGAAAGTACAAAGGTTTGCAACAAGGCTACCCCAGAGCTCAGGGGAATGTCGTACGAGGAAAGGTTGGGGGAAATCGGACTGACACACTGGGGGACAGAAGAGTCATGGGAGACATAAATAACGACATACAAGATACTGCGGGGAATAGACAAGGTGGACAGAGATAGGAGTTCCAGAAGGGGACACAGGACAAGGGGTCACACCCTGGAAGCTGAAGACTCAGACGAGTCACGGGGACGTTAGGAAGTATTTCTTCAGTCATAGAGTTGTCAGAAAGTGGAATGCCTAGCAAGTGAAGTAGTGGAGGGAGGAACCATACATAGTTTTAAGAAGAGGTATGATACAGCTCGGAAGCAGAGAGAGAGAGGACCTAGCAGTGATCAGTGAAGAGGCGGGGCCAGGAGCTGAGTCTCGACCCCGAAACCCACAATTAGGTAAATTTAAAGGTGAGTACACACACACACACACCCCACACCACACTAAATATTTTATATATATATATATATATAAAAAAATATATTATATATATATATATATATATATTATATATATATATATATATGGTAAATATATATATATACATAATTAATATGGTTTCTATTGACGTGTGGCCATCAGAAGCGGGTGAGTGGTTGTGTACGTGCGAGGGAGATGACCTGCCAGACAGCTCCGAAGTACACCATGGACAAGACTACTCAGAAGTCTGCTACTCAGACAAGGGTGAGTATTTTTTTACTCCTCCCTATTGATTGTTCTCTCTGTTTCTCACTCTACATCGCCTCTGTCTAATAGTTTATCTTCCTCTGTCTATTTCTCTCAGCATTTTCCTCTCCTTTATTATTTTCACCCCTTCTCTCCATTTCCTTCATCTTCTCTTGCCCTAATTAATTTTGCGCTCTACCTTCCCCACTATTTCTCCCCCCTCTAACTCACTGCCTTCCTCCTCTCCCTCACTACTTCCCCCTCTCTCCCTCACTGCTTTTTCCCTCCCTCATGTCTTATACCCTATCCTTTCCTAAACTCTTCAACCCTCGTACCCTTTTTAGCATACAGTATAATCGTCCCTCAGATGTGTGTTTACTCTAGGCACGTTAGTTTACCCTCAAAACAATGTAGGTTATCTTGACTGTCCGTTTTCTATGTTTGCAGGATAACAGCTGCATGGCCACGCAGTGGAGTATGTATGATGAATATCGTACTCTCGACACCCCTGGTAAGTCATCAACACTACTAGTAAGTCATCATCACCACTGGTAAGTTAACACTCCTGGTAAGTCAACATCCCTGGTAAGTCATCAACACTCTTGGTAAGTTATCAACATCTCTAGTAAGTCATCAACACTCTTGGTAAGTCATCAACACTCTTGGTAAGTCATCAACACTCTTGGTAAGTCATCAACATCTTTAGTAAGTCATCAACACTCTTGGTAAGTCATCAACACTCTTGGTAAGTCATCAACATCTTTAGTAAGTCATCAACACCCCTCGTAAGTCATCAACACGTCGTAAGTCATCAACACATCGTAAGTCATCAACACTCTTGGTAAGTCATCAGCACCTCTAGTAATTCATCAGCATCCCTCGTAAGTCATCAACACCCCTCGTAAGTCATCAACACTCTTGGTAAGTCATCAACACTTGGTAAGTCATCAACACCTCTAGTAAGTCATCAACACCCTTCGTAAGTCATAACACTTCGTAAGTCATCACTCTTGGTAAGTCATCGGTACCTCTAGTAAGTCATCAACACCCCTCGTAAGTCATCAACACTTCGTAAGTCATCAACACTTCGTAAGTCATAACACTTCGTAAGTCATCACTCTTGGTAAGTCATCGGTACCTCTAGTAAGTCATCAACACTTGGTAAGTCATCAACACCTCTAGTAAGTCATCAACACCCTTCGTAAGTCATCAACACTTCGTAAGTCATCAACACTTCGTAAGTCATCACTCTTGGTAAGTCATCGGTACCTCTAGTAAGTCATCAACACCCCTCGTAAGTCATCAACACCTCTAGTAAGTCATCGGTACCTCTAGTAAGTCATCAACACTTTAGGTATGCCATCAACACCTCTAGTAAGTCATCAACACCTCTAGTAAGTCATAACACTTCGTAAGTCATCACTCTTGGTAAGTCATCGGTACCTCTAGTAAGTCATCAACACCCCTCGTAAGTCATCAACACGTCGTAAGTCATAACACTTCGTAAGTCATCACTCTTGGTAAGTCATCGGTACCGCTAGTAAGTCATCAACACTTGGTAAGTCATCAACACCTCTAGTAAGTCATCAACACCCTTCGTAAGTCATCAACACTTCGTAAGTCATCAACACTTCGTAAGTCATAACACTTCGTAAGTCATCACTCTTGGTAAGTCATCAACACCCCTCGTAAGTCATCAACATGTTTGCATTATAACATTATATACTACTTACATTTTTAGATTTTGCCATCGAAGTGGCAAACCACACATCCATCGTGTGGAGGGTAGTGCAAGAGCATATGGATACACAAAAAGCCTAGGGACTAGGCCACAAAAAGGGTTAACGGGTGTACATATGGATTTATATCTAAATATCTACAGTTCACTTATCTGTTACAAGCAAATTTAGGAAATTAGTATATATGGTATGTTATTTTCATTAATAAGATATCTTGACATGTCACGGAGGTTATTATACTGTCTGTCTCTGTATTCCTCAATAAGTGGACAATTAAGCACATAGTGTTCAAGACAGCCACAGAGTAGTCAGGAAGTGGAATAGTTTGGGAAGCGATGTAGTGGAGGCAGGATCCATACATAGCTTTAAGCAGAGGTACGATAAAGCTCATGGTTCAGGGAGAGTGACCTAGTAGCGACCAGTGAAGAGGCGGGGCCAGGAGCTCGGACTCGACCCCTGCAACCTCAACTAGGTGAGTACAGTGACCATATGCCTGATCACATAATTTGTATTTAGTTTGATCATCATCTGTGTGTCTCCCAAACTGCCAGAAGTACTTGTAACCAAGCCTAAGCCTGGCCACTACAACATCAGTCAGTACTTGTAACCAAGCCTAAGTCTGGCCACTACAACATCAGTCAGTACTTGTAACCAAGCCTAAGTCTGGCCACTACAACATCAGTCAGTACTTGTAACCAAGCCTAAGTCTGGCCACTACAACATCAGTCAGTACTTGTAACCAAGCCTAAGTCTGGCCACTACAACATCAGTTGTACTTGTAACCAAGCCTAAAGGGCTGGCCACTACAACATCAGTCAGTACTTGTAACCAAGCCTAAGCCTGGCCACTACAACATCAGTTAGTACTTGTAACCAAGCCTAGGTCTGGCCACTACAACATCAGTCAGTACTTGTAACCAAGCCTAAGCCTGGCCACTACAACATCAGTCAGTCTGTTCACATTGCAAGTTGCTCCATAAACATATTTATTAAATTATTATTATTATTATTATTATTATTATTATTATTATTATTATTATTATTATTATTATTATTATTATTATTATTAAAGATTCGCCAGTATTCTCCCGGCCCGGGCCTTTTCCAAGTGGTGGCCCGGCCTTGGCTCCCTGTCTAGGGAGTGCCTGATACCTAAGTCTCTCATGGGAGGAGGTACAAGTACCCCCTCATCTTTGGGACCAACTGTCCCCAGGCCTAGCCACATTCCCCGCCCTCACGGGGCTCGTAGGGAGAAGCTAGGCCTCTCTGGCCTGCCCTTCCCGCCCCAAGGGGGTTATTGGAAATGGTAGTCTTGTGAGCTGCAAGCTCTGGCTCAGGCACCTACCCTACCTTAGAAGGGCTAGGCATGGTGTCAATGGGTGAACTTATTTATCTACGCTCATGTTATCTTAGTGGGTTATAGACCTACTCAGACTTCTATTGCATTCCTATAACAATCATACTACTAATTAAAATACGTTAGTTATAGTGTTAGTCGTTTTCTTTTTCACCTTTGATTAAAAGAGAAAACTAGAATATCAGATTTATTGGGGTAACTTTAATGAAAAACTTCACTTTCTTTATCAAATTATATTTTACATGTTAAGAGCTGTTATCCTACCATAGCTAATTTGAAGTCTTGACCCCAGCAATGTCTATCTAGTTTCATTACAATAATGATATAAAGTATCGATAAGATGAAGACTTAGACGCAGATTTTCAGGCTGAGGGACCGATTACCTAGTCTTCCACTGTCTTTTGTGTATCGTTCTGCAAGGCGGAGGGACTGATTACCTCATCTTCCAATGTCTCCTGTGTATAGTTCTGCATGGCTGAGGGACTGATCGCCCCATCTTCTACTGTCTTTACATATCCTCTCTGTATTGACTTGACAAAGCCACGAGTTTGCGAAACCTCTTCAAATAAAGATACCCAGGTGTTGCACTTGTATCTAGTTCTTATCTGGTAGGCTATTATGCTAGTCTGCCTCAAAATATGACCCATAAAAGCCAGACCAATACACAGGAAACATTTTTATTACTAAATACTTAAGCTAGTCCTATTTTTTTAATGTTTTCTTTTCACTCTAGAGGGTAAACTAGACAAGGATGAGACACGCCACGTTGCCAGCCAGTGTGAGACTCGGTATTATGTCGGGGAACCCTGTCTGAGTGTAAGTATCAGTCACCCATTCAAATATATCAGAATATATCAGAATTTTATACGTAGTTTGAAAAGTAAGCATGTTTGTATAGATATAGGTACACATAAGTACAATTATCATGCATTGTAACATGTATAAATTACCTAGAACCCCCCCCCCCAAAAAAAAAAAAAAGATTCTTGAATTGCTCATGGCTCAGTTGATTCAATTCCACTGATCCTCCGGATCAGTGGAAACGACGGGCATGTTTTCTTTCAGCTGCTGTTCCTGTTCACCTAGAAATAAGTACCTTAGGTTCCTAATTGTTAGTTGACTGGCGTGGGTCACACTCAGGAGAAGACTACAGGGCGACAATGAAAATAAGCCAGTCTGGTGACAAATCTTCTTCAACCTAGTATGGCGTACATTTTACCTTGAAGATACTATGTAGAGCAGTGGTACCCAAACATTTTCAGAAAAAAACATGCCACGGGTGGGGTTTGAACCCGCGGTCAGAGAGAGTCTCAAAAACTCCAGACCGTCGCGTTAGCCACTGGGCCAGTTAGCTGCAATAAGATTCATCCATGTAAACTTTTTCAGGTTGCTGCCCCCTTGGCTCCCAGGCCACATCCCTAGCGCCCCCCCCCCCACACACACACAAACGATCACGCCTCTTTCTTGGTATTATGTTTACTGCAAATTCAAAATTACTCAACGCCCCCCCCCCCCCTGGATCTTTCTAGCGCCCACAGGGAACGGTACCGCCCACTTTGGGAATCACTGATCTAGAGGACGATGAAGACCACGAAAGCTTTGTTCAGGTTATGAACTCCGGAGTGTTAATAACCCAGAATGTCCCAACAGAGGTCCATCTTAGGTTCTTCCCAGGATGTGACCCACGGCAGTAGACTGGCTCTTAGGTATATATTTACCATTGGGTAACAGGGGCAGCAAGTACTAGAGGAGACTTACTTATACGTCTCTCCTCGTCCAGGATTCCACCTGGAGTCCTCCAGGGTGCGAACTGCATTAGGTAGTGGTTATAGATATGTACGTTTTAATTTAGGTATTGCATACATAACATACTTCTAGTTTTGCAATGGTCTGGAGGTTGTTCATATTATAGTCACATCAAATATTACTTGGTACATCATGTACATTAAACCTAGTAAAGTCTCAGTATATCATATAATGTGGTTTATTTGTAATAATGGTTGTAGGTAATGGAGCATGCATGGCCAGGTAATGGATGAAATAGTGAACATTTAAGAGGGGATTCTCTCCTACAGGAGCAACAGTTGAAACAGCAGCAGGAGCAGCTGGAGTCGGAGGGTGTGGGTGGGATACGAGGGGTGGAGGTGTATGGGTTACTGAAGGGGATGGGCTGGATGGAAAGACAACTCTCCTCCACCCACAACATCCACCTCCTCCATGCATTCACAGACTACGCTCACCAGGTGCACCACCACACCAAACACGACCTCCAGTCTGCCACAGGTAAACACACCTTCATGGAATGATATTATATAATATATATATATATATATTATATATATTATAATTATATATATATATTATTGTAATCACGAACGAGTGGTATTGATCAATAACAACACTGCACTAGCCAAGGATTCGAACCCATATTGTACTGGCCTGCCTCATGGTAAGCGAGAACCACATGACACTTTAAACCACAGGACCACCCAACCCTACGAGAATGGTGCAGTCAGCACACAGCTAGCTGTTGGGCTGCCATCCGAGGGCATACGGAGGTGTGGGAGCTTCTAAGCTAATTTCATTCTCATCGCAGCTGTGTGCTGGCTGCGCAATTCTTGTAGGGTTAGGTGGTCCTGTGGTTTAAAGCGTCATGTGGTTCTCGCTTACCATGAGGCAGGCCAGTACAACATGGGTTCGAATCCATGGCTAGCGTAGTGTTGTTATATATATATATATATATATATATATATATATATATATATATTAGGCCAGTCCGGGTCTCTCACAGGCCGCAGGTTCTCTCCCTAATAATAATTTAGCTAAAAAAAAGTAATTTTAACGGTGCTTTCAATTACGTATCTGCAGATGAAAAAAATGGAATCTGTTATTTTAGATTACTTTTGTTAAAAGGCGGAGAGGCACGTCCCTGACGTTGTTATATTTGTATACTGTGTAGAGAGAGGGGCGTGGCGTGACGGTGGCACCGACGAGTGCCAGACTCAAGAGTTGTGGCACTTCGGCTGTGAAGCCACCTGGGAGTGCCGGGTGAACGCTGTCACCTTCTGCAGCAGCTCCCCCGTCAGTACTCACCTCTCTCACCACCTGCTGTACTCACCATCTGCTGTACTCACCTCTCTCACCACACTCACCATCTGCTGTACTCACCTCTCTCACCACCTGCTGCACTCACCTCTCTCACCATCTGCTGCACTCACCTCTCTCACCACCTGCTGTACTCACCTCTCTCACCACCTGCTGCACTCACCTCTCTCACCACCTGCTGTACTCACCTCTCTCACCACCTGCTGTACTTACTTCTCTCGCCACCTGCTGCACTCACCTCTCTCACCATCTGCTGCACTCACCTCTCTCACCACCTGCTGTACTCCTCTCTCACCCACCTGCTGTACTCACCTCTCTCACCACCTGCTGCACTCACCTCTCTCACCATCTGCTGCACTCACCTCTCTCACCACCTGCTGTGCTCACCTCTCTCACCACCTGCTGTACTCACCTCTCTCACCACCTGCTGTACTCACCTCTCTCACCACCTGCTGTACTCACCTCTTCACCACCTGATGCACTCACCTCTCTCACCACCTGCTGCACTCACCTCTCTCACCATCTGCTGTACTCACCTCTCTCACCACCTGCTGTACTCACCTCTCTCACCATCTGCTGTACTCACCTCTCTCACCACCTGCTGTACTCACCTCTCTCACCACCTGATGCACTCACCTCTCTCACCACCTGCTGTACTCACCTCTCTCACCATCTGCTGTACTCACCTCTCTCACCATCTGCTGTACTCACCTCTCTCACCACCTGCTGTACTCACCTCTCTCACCACACTGCTGCACTCACCTCTCTCACTACCTGGTGTACTCACCTCTCTCACCATCTGCTGTACTCACCTCTCTCACCATCTGCTGTACTCACCACCTGCTGTACTCACCTCTCTCACCATCTGCTGTACTCACCTCTCTCACCATCTGCTGTACTCACCTCTCTCACCATCTGCTGTACTCACCTCTCTCACCACCTGCTGCACTCACCTCTCTCACTACCTGGTGTACTCACCTCTCTCACACCACCTGCTGTACTCACCTCTCTCACCACCTGCTGTACTCACCTCTCTCACCACCTGCTGCACTCACCTCTCTCACCACCTGCTGCACTCACCTCTCTCACCACCTGCTGCACTCACCTCTCTCACCACCTGCTGCACTCACCTCTCTCACTACCTGGTGTACTCACCTCTCTCACCACCTGCTGTACTCACCTCTCTCACCACCTGGTGTACTCACCTCTCTCACCACCTGCTGTACTCACCTCTCTCACCACCTGCTGCACTCACCTCTCTCACCACCTGCTGCACTCACCTCTCTCACCACCTGCTGCACTCACCTCTCTCACTACCTGGTGTACTCACCTCTCTCACCACCTGCTGACTCACCTCTCTCACTACCTGTGTACTCACCTCTCTCACCACCTGCTGCACTCACCTCTCTCACACCTGGTGTACTCACCTCTCTCACCACCTGCTGCACTCACCTCTCTCACTACCTGCTTTACCTCACCTCTCTCACCACCTGCTGCACTCCACTCTCTCACCACCTGCGCACTCACCTCTCTCACTACCTGTGTACTCACCTCTCTCACCACCTGCTGCACTCACCTCTCTCACTACCTGGTGTACTCACCTCTCTCACCACCTGCTGCACTCACCTCTCTCACTACCTGCTGTACTCACCTCTCTCACCACCTGCTGCACTCACCTCTCTCACCACCTGCTGCACTCACCTCTCTCACACCTGTGTACTCACCTCTCACCACCTGCTGCACTCACCCTCTCACTACCTGGTGTACTCACCTCTCTCACCACCTGCTGTACTCACCTCTCACCACCTGTGCACTCACCTCTCTCACCACCTGCTGCACTCACCTCTCTCACTACCTGTGTACATCACCTCTCTCACCACCTGCTCTCCACTCACCTCTCTCACCATCTGCTGTACTCACCTCTCTCACCACCTGCTGTACTCACCTCTCTCACCATCTGTGTACTCACCTCTCTCACACCTGCTGCACTCACCTCTCTCACTACCTGCTGCACTCACCTCTCTCACTACCTGGTGTACTCACCTCTCTCACCACCTGCTGCACTCACCTCTCTCACCACCTGCTGCACTCACCTCTCTCACCACCTGCTGCACTCACCTCTCTCACTACCTGGTGTACTCACCTCTCTCACCACCTGCTGCACTCACCTTCTCACACCTGCTGCACTCACTCTACTCACCACCTGCTGCACTCACCTCTCTCACTACTGGTGTACTCACCTCTTCTCACCACCTGCTGCATCTCCACCTCCTCACCACCTGCTGCACTCACCTCTCTCACACCCTGCTGCACTCACCTCTCTCACTACCTGGTGTACTCACCTCATTCACTCACCTCAACCTTTGCACTACTTATCTGTGTCACCTAATTACAGCAGTAGTTTCCTTCCTTAGTTTAGTACTTTCTTGCTTAAGTACTACTTTTATTCCTAGTGCTGTCTAATGTGGGTTTAGCGTTTTATGTACATGTATAAAATAAATGTAACCTATGAGTCATGTCACCTGGAAATAAGTCTTATAACCGCATACCCAAATAAGTGCATATTAACCTGCAGTACTATAAAGGCTATTACCAGGCAGTACTCAATAAGTACATCTAACCAGGCAGAATAAGCATAAGCTCACTAATTAACCAGGCAGTACCATATGTTACATTACCAGGCAGTACCAATAAGTTCACATTAACCAGGCAGTTACCAATAAGGCATATTTAACAGGCAGTACTAATAAGGCACATTAACCAGGCATGTCCAATAAGGCATATTAAAAACCATGGCATGTACTAATAAGCAATTAACCAGGCAGACCAATAAGGCATATTAACCAGGCAGTACTAATAAGGCACATTAACCAGGCAGTACCAATAAGGCATATTAACCAGGCAGTACTAATAAGGCACATTAACCAGGCAGTATCAATAAGGCATATTAACCAGGCAGTACCAATAAGGCATATTAACCAGGCAGTACCAATAAGGCATTTTAACCAGGATGTTGTGGTTGCAGTGGCTGGTGGTGGCTGCCTATGGCAACCTTTCGCTTACAGAGCCATCCCGGGGTGCCATCTGTGGTTGGAGTGCCAAGAGGATAAGTCAACCGGAGCTCAGGTTAGTGAAAGAAGTTAGGTCAGTGCCAGAGGCCAGGTTAGTGTCAAAAGTTATATTATTTTAAGATGTTAAACTCTCTGCATTCAAGGAAAGTGACCAGATGTATGGAAGCGGCATTAATTTATACACAGAGCACTACTGAACAGAACCAAGGTTCAATTAGCCTAGCTAGAGCACTGGTTCACATCACGCTGCACGAGCAATCTCAGTAATAAGAGTTCAGCAACATTGGCCAGTACACCTCACCTCACTCCAACCATCTCACTCTACATAATGTGATGATTGCACTCTGAACTGACCAACTGATCACCACACTAATCACCACATCTTACACTGTTGAAAATCTTGTAATACAGTGACCATTACCTCCTGGCCAGGCTCACTCTACCAGGAACAGCCACTGTAGTCAGCTCGTGTCCCGTGGCACCTCAGCTCTGTTGTGTGGCTCTCCTAGACGGCACCTTGCATGTGTACCAGCTGGACACTCCCATCCCCCAGCTGATCCTGGACACCAGGTGAGTTTTACATCTGGTATACGAGTTACTAAATCACTGAAGTTGGGTTCGTAGATGTGATATCACTTATTCATTGTTTATTCATCATGATGTCATTGTAAATTCATCCTCTCTATAATGTTAATGTAAATAACTCAGTTTACCTTATTCCTAGTATATCTTCTTTTATTTCTTTTATTGTAGCTAATTTTCACACAGTTGAGTTACTTGCCTGTTTTAACTTTTAAGGTTTAAATAATTAGATATTACAAGGACCCCAATGGAAATAAGTTACTTTGTCTGACTTTTTCGGGAGTTATCCTGAGTAATTTACACTATGTATGACAATTGTACTTTTGTGTACCTGTGCCTAAATATACTTACTAGTGGGAGCGTGGATAAACACTATGGTCCAGTGTGGGCGGTCGAGTGGCGACAAACATTCCACACACTGCCCGCCCACGCTGACAACGCTCATGATGATCACGCCCATCGTGCTGACAGCCATGCTGAAAGAGCCCATGCTGACGACAGTGCTTCTGCTGAGCACATAGGTGCCAGCACTGCTGAAACACAGGTAAGTTCAATAGAAACAACGTGCAGTATAGTGCCTTCACTCTAAAGGATATAGACTATTACCATTTGTTGCATTATTTTAAGTGTAATATCCTCTCACTTCTGGAAGGATATATGGAGAATGTTTTGACATGAATAGGCAGGAAAAATACTCCATGGATATGCTTAAGGCCATGCATCCTGTAAGTCCATTGAGTAGAGACATCAGACTATCTAGGATACATACTTTCCCTTCTCTCTTTATTCATAAAATAAAAGGTATACGATAGGTGAAAAGCGTTCTCTGGGAGAAATGATAAACATGCTTGTGTTACCTGCAGGAGTGGCAGAAGGTGGGGATCCAGGCCTTAGTGTCAGCCTCTGAAGACGGCACAGTCAAGGAGTGGCTCTTCTCCAGGGACACTCTCATACGCTGCACCAGTGAGTTTGTTACTCTGTCCTGACACACGCACACACACCTCCTGTTTTTGCACGCTTTATGTTACAGATTAACAGATGCTAACTTACTTCAGTTCATTAATAAGTCCAGCTCTTTCTAAGGTATACTACCGTCCCCTAGGATACGATGACAGTAGTTCAGCACCCAGGTATCTATTTGCTGCTAGGTGAACAGGGACACCAGGTGTAAGGAGACTCATACTAAGGGAAGAAAAATATAAACTCACAGATACAGGGTATAATAGTCTTATTTTTTCTCATGATTTAGACCGCTTAAACATTCCAACAGGTTTAGCACATATGGTGCTAAACCTGTGTGGGTCATTCAGCTTAAGGAGTGTTGGAGGCTCGATCCTCCGATCACTAATTGTATAACGTGGTACTCTCACAATCAGGCTGGAGGAAGGAGACTCACGTCAGCAACTGCAGTAAGGAGGATTGTGTCCACTTACCGATAACTAGAGCTACCCTTCTCTTCCTTGGATCAAACCGATTACCACACATTCCCCAGGCACTATATGGGCTCTAAGGGTTTGGGTTGTCCCCCCCCCCCCAAAAAAAAAATACATATATATATACTTCTGAATCAGTTTGTAAGATAATAGAGGGCAACCTCTCCCCCACTTCATGTTAAACTACTCACATAGGCACCTAGGTAATTATATAAGTATTTTGACACTAAAGTGTTGGCAGAGACAGTAATTAACTCTCTCCCTCAGTTCTGATGAAGGTGTGTGTCCCACCGTGGGTGTCTCTAGAGATAGCTGGTGGCCTGAAGGAGGTGTTGCGACTCCCCGAAGAGAATCAGGGTGGCACTGAACGCCATCGGGGAGGCACGGAACGCCCTCGGGGCAGCACTGAACGGCCTCGGAGCGACGCTGAAAGCCGCTCGCTGGGCGGCAACGGACAGCTCCTGCCAGAGAGCGTGCCGGCCACCGCTCTCAAGTTCCGTCGAGGAGACAGCACATCGTACCTCGTGGGCACCATCGCTGGCCACCTCCTCATGGTATGTTGTCATGATCATGTCACACGGGCATGTGTATCACCCATACGGATTTACTGCTTCTTTTTAATGCCAAAAATGATCTATTATTGGGGCAGACATCATGGTGTCTCGTCTTGGGTGTAAATCCCAATAGATTTTTAACAATTTCGACACACTGTTCTCAGATTTTCTCCAGTTATATATCTGCAAAACTCAGGGGACTGATTCCCTGTTTCTCTACCGCCTTTGATAACATGCCAATGGTTGGCGAAATGTCTTCAAATACACAAATAACCAGCACATAGAAGCTTATGACAACTTTTCGGTCCGACTTGGACCATTGATTAGCCACACTAAAACATGAAGTAGAGGAAGCTAATTTTCTTCAAATATAGATACCCAGGTGTTGTTCTTGTGTCCGGCTCCTCGTCGTTATTGACATCTTTTCCACCAGGATATATGAATGTTCGTCATTATTTGCATTTTCTCAGTTAATTTGAAGTTTCTCATTTATTGCTATGATTTACGTTTTATATTCTATATATTTATCAATTCGAAAATTATCTCTGAAGAGAAACTATTATATATTTTGTTTAATCCTAAAAAAGGAAATCTACCCATTCACTATGTTGTATAATTTTCATAATAATATAATAATCTCTCAGCTGATTATAGGGGCAGAGGATCGTCCACAGCTGAGACCAAACTGCTATCATTTGACGTGTTATATTCTTTCAGTTTTTTTATATCCATTTTATTCTATAATGATCCTCATTGTTTAAACACATATAATTATGGATTTTCTCTCGCCCTTTCTTCCCCTTTCCCTTAGTCTTCAGTGTTACCTCCTCACTAACTGGTCGTCTCCCCTTAGACTTCAGTATATATACACTGAGAGGTGCGTGTCTTTCAGTATATTAATGCTTGCAGTCTGCTTTATTCCCTATTTTAGGTATTAAAGTATTCTTGAGGAGTGATGTGCAGGTGACATGCAGACTTGAGGACCCTCGTGTAGTCGAGTAAGTAACCAGCCAACCTCTGTCTTCCGTGTCACTCCTTCACTTGACGATTGTGTCTCTCCTCCGTCAGTGTCGGACGTTTGAGCGTCGTGGCAGCGTAGCTGTGTTCAGAGGCCACACAGGGCTGGTGACAGCCCTGGACTGGCGCCCTCAGCCCCCAGCCGACCCCGCCCACGTCTTCCTCTCGGCCGCCCTCGATGATACCATCAGGGTGTGGCATGCGGATAAGTTAGAGCCACACTGCGTCCTAAGGAATCCAAAGGTAACTATTTACAGGCTCCTTACCCTATGGTCGCCTGCTGGGCGATCCTGCCCCACTCTCTGCACCTTGTGATGGTTGTGATGAGTATCTTCATTGTCTGCTTGGACCTTAGAATTTACTAAATATACGTATGTTAATAGCAACGAGATGCCTGCTGGGACCTCGGTGAATTTTAAGGTGCCTATTTTAACATTTCCCAGTAGATGTGTCTTCTCTGATGCAGAGCATTGTTAACTTAATGTTTTATTGCAAGTGGTCATGCGATTGGAATGGGAAAAATATAGTGAGTGTATGGTTGTTCACTCACACACACACACACACACACACACACACACACACACACACACACACACAACACACACACAACACACATACACACACACAACACACACACACACACACACACACACACACACACACACAACAACACACACACACACACACACACACACACACACACACACACACACACACACACACACGAACACACACACACACACACACACACACACACACACACACACACACACACACACACACACACACACACACACACAAAGTTGAAATCCACAACCACTCTCTTCTGTACTGGAACATCTGTATCCCATTCATACGAACACTGCGCTTTACAATTGTTGACACCAACACCTGTCCCCTCAGCAGGTGTTGTCAGGTCCAGACGGGTACCTGGACGCATGCTGGTGTCCCTGGTATGGGAATTTGATTGCAGGCGTGCATGGAGGCGGCCTTCACCTCTGGGACATCTCTCTCTCCACCCACACACCCATCCTCACCCACCAGCACCCAGGGGCCACCTGCGTCACCTTCAGCCCCCATACCAGGGTAGGTAACAACCTCTCTAGTGTAACACCAGGGTAGGTAACAACCTCTCTAGTGTAACACCAGGGTAGGTAACAACCTCTCTAGTGTAACACCAGGGTAGGTAACAACCTCTCTAGTGTAACACCAGGGTAGGTAACAACCTCTCTAGTGTAACACCAGGGTAGGTAACAACCTCTCTAGTGTAACACCAGGGTAGGTAACAACCTCTCTAGTGTAACACCAGGGTAGGTAACAACCTCTCTAGTGTAACACCAGGGTAGGTAACAACCTCTAGCAGCATAGAATTAGTAGTAGCAGTAGTGTAATTAGTAGTAATAGAAATAGAATTAGTAGTAGGATTACAAGTAGCTGTAGTAGGATAAGTAGTAATTGTATTTGGATTAGCAGTTAAAGAGGCAGAATTAGTAGTAATAATAGTAGTAGCAGTAGTAGCAGTAGTAGCAGTAGTAGCAGTAGTAGCAGTAGTAGCAGTAAGGTTAGTAGTGAACATTATTAATAGTGATAGTAGTAGTAGTAGTAAATAATAACTGTAATAGTAAATAGTAATGGTAGTAGTATTGGTAAGTAGTAATAGTAGTAGTAGTAATAAGGAATAGTAATATATTTCTGTCTGATATCATGTATATTATGATCAAAGTGATTATTTATCTGTCTTACTCCTGATTTTCTCACCCCTACCTGTCCATAAAGTTTACTCTGTTGCTATCTCTCTCTCTCTCTCTCTCAATCTCTCTTTCTCTCTCTCTCTCTCTCTCTCTCCCTCTCTCACAGTTTCACTCTTCTCACAGCCTGACTCTCGCACAGCTTCACTCTCTCACAGCCTCGCTCTCCTCTCTCACAGCCTCACTCTCCCTCCCGCACGCCTCACTCTCCCTCTCTCACAGTTTCACTCTCTCACAGCCTGACTCTCGCACAGCTTCACTCTCTCACAGCCTCGCTCTCCTCTCTCACAGCCTCACTCTCCTCCCGCACAGCCTCACTCTCCCTCTCTCACAGTTTCACTCTCTCACAGCCTGACTCTCGCACAGCTTCACTCTCTCACAGCCTCGCTCTCCCTCTCTCACAGCCTCACTCTCCCTCCGCACAGCCTCACATCTCCCTCTCTCACAGTTTCACTCTCTCACAGCCTGACTCTCGCACAGCTTCACTCTCTCACAGCCTCACTCTCCCTCTCTCACAGCCTCACTCTCCCTCTCTCACAGCTTCACTCTCTCACAGCCTCACTCTCCCTCTCTCACAGCCTCACTCTCTCACAGCGTCTCTCCCACAGAACGTGGTGCTGGGGGATCAGAGAGGGTCTGTGAGAGTGATCCACCTGACGGGTCTGGCTGTTCACTCCTCCACAGCCTTCCACAGACTCTCCTCCGTCCTCTCCAGGATCACTATGCTTGGAGCCAAGGAAGAAGAGGGGGAAGAAGAAGGTAGGAAGAGAGGAAAGGAGAGGAAGAGGAGGAGGAAGAGGAGGAGGAAGAGGAGGAGGAAGAGGAGGAGGAAGAGGAGGAGGAAGAGGAGGAGGAAGAGGAGGAGGAAGAGGAGGAGGAAGAGTAGGTTATGCTTAAAGCCTTGGACATGGAAAAGGAGGAGATGAGGAGGAGGAGGAAGAAGAGGAGGAAGAGGGGGAGGAAGAAGAGGAGGAAGAAGAGGAGGAAGAGGAGGAGGAGGAGAGATATCCTAGCACTCTGAACGAAAAAGGAAGAAAAAGGTAGAAAATAAAAAAGAAGAGGAATGGAAGGAAGAAGGAAAACGGGAATAGCAAAAAGAAAGTAGAAGAAAAAGATGATGAAGACGAATAGGGGAAGACGGAAGAGGAAACATAAGAGAAAAGACAGAGAAGAAAAGATGAGAGGAACACTTGTGAGAAGATTTACAGTTGTAAACTTGTGTGTGACACCTGTGTGACACCTGTGTGACACCTGTGTTACACCTGTGACACCTGTGTGACACCTGTGTGACACCTGTGTGACACCTGTGTGACACCTGTGGGACCTTCCTTGAGATTCTGTAACATCTGTGAGACATCTGGAACATCTGTGAAAGATCTGCAGCATCTGTGAGTGAGACATCTGGAACATCTGTGAAAGATCTGCAGCATCTGTGAGTGAGACATCTGGAACATCTGTGAAACATCTGGAACATTTGTGAGTGAGACATCTGGAACATCTGTGAAACATCTGGAACATTTGTGAGTGAGACATCTGGAACATCTGTGAAACATCTGGAAATTCTGTGAGACATCTGGAACATCTGTGATACATCTGGAACATCTGTGAGACATTTTGAACATCTGTGAGACATCTGGAACATCTGTGATGACATCTGGAACATCTGTGAGACATTTGGAACATCTGTGAGACACCTGTGCACTGGAACATCTGTGAGACACTGTGAACATCTGTGAGACATTTGGAACATTGTGAAGACACTTGGAACATCTGTGTGAGTGAGACACTCTGGAACATCTGTGAGTGAGACACCTTGGACATTGTGATTGTGACACTCTGGAACATCTTGAGACATGAAACATCTGTGAGATTGGACATCGTGAAATAACATCTGTGGAGACATCTGGAACAGCTGTGAGACATCTGGAACATCTGTGAAACATCTGGAACATCTGTGAGTGAGACATCTGAAACATCTGTGAGACCTCTGGAACATCGGTGTGACATCTGGAACATCTGTGAGACATCTGGAACATCTGTGAGACATCTGGAACATCTGTGAGACATCTGGAACATCTGTGAGACATCTGGAACATCTGTGAGACATTTAGAACATCTATGAGACATCTGGATCATCTGTGAGACATCTGGAACATCTATGAGGCATTTAGAACATCTGTGAGACATCTGGAACATCTGTGTGACATCTGGAACATCTGTGTGAGACATCTGGAACATCTGTGAGACACTGAACTCTGTGAGACATAACTTTGTAGACATCTGAAACATCTGTGAGACATCTGGAACACTGTGAGACATTAGAAATCTGTGAGACATCTGGAACATCTGTGAGAATCTCAACATTGTGAGACATCTCAACATCTGTGAGACACCTCGGAACATCGTGTGACGGAACATTTAATCCAACATCTGTGAGACATCTGCAGACATCTGTGAGACACTAACATTGTGGCACAATGCATGAACATGTGAAACATTAGAACATCTGTGAGCCTCGTTGCAATCATCTGTGAACATCTTGAACATATGAGACCTCATTGAACATCTGTGAGACATCTGTACACATCTGTGAGACCTGTTGCATCATCTGTGAGCCATTGAAAACATCTTGAGCCCGTGCAGCATCTTTGAGACATCTAAACAGTGTGAACCTCGTTAAAACATCTGTGAAACATCTAGAATATATGTGGACTCGTGCAACATCTGCGAATATCTCAAATGTGTGAGCCTCGTTACAACTCTGTGGGACAACTAGATATCTGTGAACCTAGTTGCAACATGTAAGATGCCTTTGCAACATTTCTGAGACAAGTGCTACTGTGTTGCACTTGCTACACTGCTCAACACAGCTGCATTAAGTAAATAGTAATCATTGGCAAATCTTGTTAAATAGCCGTTTTTGCATTCAGCCATCAGCCTTTTGACTATAGCTGGAGAGTCTTCGGGGTCCACGTTGCCGCAGCGGCCCGGCCATCATCAAAACATGGTGTGATCGTTAACACTGATCAACAGGTTGTATTGTGAGCCCACGTCTAACATCGCGAGAACACAGATCGGTGTGAGTAACGGTTAAAACATGACTGTGGACCTATACGGCCTACTTGAAGACAGAGGGTCTTTGAAGACAAGCCAGGTCTTGAAGACACTCCAGGGGTCTTGAAGACAGCCAGTGATGGCTTGAGAAGCCGGGGTTATTGAAGACAAGCCAGGGGTCTTGAGAATTCCCGGGGTCTTGAAGCAGCCAGGGGTCTCTTAAGCTCCAGGGTGAATGGTATGACAGCCAGGGATCATAAACGACAGCCAGGGCTTGAAGGACGCAAGGGCTCTTGAAACAGCAAGGGGTCTTGAAGACATCCAGGGTCTTGAAGACAGCCAGTGCTTGAAGACAGCCAGGGGTCTTGAAGACAGCCAGGGGTCTTGAAGACATCCAGGGATCTTGAAGACAGCCAGGGGTATTGAAGACAGCCAGGGGTCTTGAAGACATCCAGGGGTCTTGAAGACAGCCAGGGGTCTTGAAGACATCCAGGGGCATTGAAGACAGAAAGGGATCTTAAAGACAGCCAGGGGACTTGAAGACAGCAAGGGGTCTTGAAGACAGCAAGGGGTCTTGAAGACATCCAGGGGTCTTGAAGACAGCCAGGGGCCTTGAAGACAGCCAGGGGTCTTGAAGACAGCCAGGGGTCTTGAAGACATCCAGGGGTCTTGAAGACAGCCAGGGGTCTTGAAGACATCCAGGGGTCTTGAAGACAGCCAGGGGCCTTGAAGACAGCCAGAGGTCTTGAAGACAGCCAGGAGTCTTGAAGACATCCAGGGGTCTTGAAGACAGCCAGGGGTCTTGAAGACAGCCAGGGGTCTTGAAGACATCCAGGGGTCTTGAAGACAGCCAGGGGTCTTGAAGACATCCAGGGGTCTTGAAGACAGCCAGGGGCCTTGAAGACAGCCAGAGGTCTTGAAGACAGCCAGGGGTCTTGAAGACATCCAGGGGTCTTGAAGACATCCAGGGGTCTTGAAGACAGCCAGGGGTTTTGAACACAGCCAGAGGTTTTGAACACAGCCAGAGGTCTTGAAGACAGCCAGCGGTCTTGAAGACATCCAGGGGCCTTGAATACAGCCAGGGGTCTTGAAGACATCCAGGGGTCTTGAATACAGCCAGGGGTCTTGAAGACAGCCAGGGGTCTTGAAGACATCCAGGGGCCTTGGACACAGCCAGGGGTCTTGAAGACATCCAGGGGTCTTGAATACAGCCAGGGGTCTTGAAGACAACCAGGGGTCTTGAAGACAGCCAGGGGCCTTGAAGACATCCAGGGGTCTTGAAGACAGCCAGGGGTCTTGAAGACAGCCAGGGGTCTTGAAGACATCCAGGGGTCTTGAAGACAGCCAGGGGCCTTGAAGACAGCCAGGGGTCTTGAAGACATCCAGGGGTCTTGAAGACATCCAGGGGTCTTCAAGACAGCCAGGGGTCTTGAAGACAGCCAGGGGCCTTGAAGACAGCCAGGGGTCTTGAAGACATCCAGGGGTCTTGAAGACATCCAGGGTCTTGAATACAGCCAGGGGTCTTGAAGACATCCAGGGGTCTTGAAGACAGCCAGGGGTCTTGAAGACATCCAGGGGTCTTGAAGACATCCAGGGGTCTTGAAGACATCCAGGGGTCTTGAATACAGCCAGGGGTTTTGAACACAGCCAGGGGTCTTGAAGACATCCAGGGGTCTTGAAGACAGCCAGGGGTCTTGAAGACAGCCAGGGATCTTGAAGACAGCCAGGGGTCTTGAAGACATCCAGGGGTATTGAAGACAGCCAGGGGTATTGAAGACATCCAGGGGTCTTGAATACAGCCAGGGGTTTTGAACACAGCCAGGGATCTTGAAGACAGCCAGGGATCTTGAAGACAGCCAGGGGTATTGAAGACAGCCAGGGGTATTGAAGACAGCCAGGGGTATTGAAGACATCCAGGGGTCTTGAAGACAGCCAGGGATCTTGAAGACAGCCAGGGGTCTTGAAGACAGCCAGGGGTCTTGAAGACACCCAGGGGTCTTGAAGACAGCCAGGGGTCTATTTATAATTCCCCATATACATACTGGGAGGCAGTTGAACAGTCTTGGGCCCCTGGCACTTATTGTCAGGGGCCCAAGACTGTTCAACTGCCTTTTTATACTGTTATCAGCCTTTTTAAACTATTATCAGCCTTTTTGTATTACTATGAGCCTTTTTATAATTTTTTGAGTTGGCATCACTTATTCACATTATTATAATTATTGTTATTGTTGATGTTGAGAAGCGCTAAAGTCGTAGGGGCTATACTGCTTTTGGGTTATGGGAAGATATCAGGGTTTTAAGTACAAGATGGAGACACGACAGTGTGGCTTACAGTGTTGCAGCCACGACAGTGTGGCTTACAGTGTTGCAGCCACGACAGTGTGACTTACAGTGTTGCAGCCACGACAGTGTGACTTACAGTGTTGCAGCCACGACAGTGTGACTTACAGTGTTGCAGCCACGACAGTGTGACTTACAGTGTTGCAGCCACGACAGTGTGGCTTACAGTGTTGCAGCCACGACAGTGTGCCTTACAGTGTTGCAGCCACGACAGTGTGGCTTACAGTGTTGCAGCCACGACAGTGTGACTTACAGTGTTGCAGCCACGACAGTGTGACTTACAGTGTTGCAGCCACGACAGTGTGGCTTACAGTGTTGCAGCCACGACAGTGTGGCTTACAGTGTTGCAGCCACGACAGTG